AAAACCCCACAGCACCCAGGGCTGCTCCCAGGTGGGTTTACCTGTCAGGACAAAACCCCACAGCACCCAGGGCTGCTCCCAGGTGGGTTTACCTGTCAGGATGATGTTGGGGATGTTGCTGTGGCTGGAGTAGTTGAGCTGCTGCGAGTCCTGCAGGCTGCCGTGGCTGCCCGTCAGTCCCATCATGGCGGCCTGCGAGTAGTTGAGGGTGGAGCAGGGGCTGTACAGGCTGTTGGAGCTGATGGCGTTCTCGATCATGTTGAACTGCTCCAGCTGCAGGGGACACCCAGGGTTACGGGCCAGCCTGCACGGCCAGGGCACACGGACACGGCTCCAGGACAACACAGACAGGCAAACAAATTCATCTTTCCCTGCTCCAAACGGGGCCCTGGGCCCTGAGCTGCACCAACAGGCCCTGCCCAGCACAGCCAAACTGGGGAGGGACAGAGAAAAGGGAGGGTGCGAGGGGAAACAGGGAAATGAAGGGAATTCAGGCTCACCCCGAGCTCTCTGCCCAGCAGAACTCCCTCCAGGACTCATCTCAGTTTCAGTATTTAATAATTTAATTAATTCAATCCACCCGCTGGCGGAAGATTGAAAGGGAAATAAAGGATGAACTCTCCCTGAGCTCTCTGCCCAGCACAATTCCCTCCAGGACACTTAAACCTCTAAGTATTCCATAACTTTTATTATTTTAATCCCAGAATTAAATTAAATAATTTAATCCATCCATGCTCTGCCGGAGGGTGGAGAAGGAAATAAAGGGATGAATTCGCCCTGAGGTCTCTGCCCAGCAGAATTCCTTTGTCCAAGCTGATTTTCACTGCTTTAACATTTCTGTTTCACTATTCTCCCTTTTCAAAGCTGCCTGGCATTATTTGAATCTTTAAAAGCTTTATTATTATATATATTTAATTGATCTCCCATTCTAAAAGCTTCATTATTATATATTTTTAAAACTGATATCCCATTTTGAAAGCTTGATTATTATATATATATTTAATCTCTCATTTTAAAAGCTTGATTATTATACATTTTTAACTGATTTCTCATTTAAAAATCTTGATTATTATATATATTTTTAACTGATCTCCCATTATTATATATTTTTTTACTTGATCTCTCATTTTAAAAGCTTCAATATCTATTTTTTAATTGACCTCTCATTTTCAAAGCCTCATTATTATATAGTTTTAAAATTGATATCCCATTTAAAAAGCCTCATTATTATATAGTTTTTAATTTATCTCCCATTCTAAAATCTTGATTATTATATTTTTTTAATGGATCTCCCATTTTAAAAGCTTCATTATTGCATATTTTTTAATGGATCTCCCATTTTAAAAGCTGCATTATTATATATTTTTTTAGTTGATGTCTCACTTTAAAAGCCCCATTATTATGTATATTTTTTTAATTGATCTCCCATTTTAAAAGCTTGGTTATTATATATATTTTTTAATTGATCTCCCATTTGAAAAGCCTCATTATTATATATTTTTAATAGATCTCCTATTTGAAATGCCTCATTATTATATATTTTTAATAGATCTCCCATTTGAAAAGCCTCATTATTATATATTTTGAATTGATCTCCCATTTGAAATGCCTCATTATAATATTTTTAATAGATCTCCCATTTGAAAAGCCTCATTATTATATATTTTGAATAGATCTCCCATTTGAAAAGCCTCATTATTATATATTTTGAATTGATCTCCCCTTTTTTGGCAGAACACCTGCGTGGGACGGGGAGGACAAAGAGAGGGGAGGGAGGAAGGGAAACCAAACCAAACAAGNATCAGTTAATGACTCCAAATCCTGTTAATTCCTGATGAATTCCTGCCCTTCCCCAGAGGAATGAGGATGCTCCAGCAGTGCCCTCTGATTCCATCCGTTCCCAGAAATCTGGGAATCACCTCCCCTCAGCCAGAGTGAAATCACCAATTCTGACCTTGGGGAATCTGGATGGGATTTTCTTTTTTTAAATTTGCAGCACAAAATATTCACAAGGACCATCGGAAATAATCAATTCTCCATTTAATTAAACAGAATTTTGGAGGATTTAATCCTGGTCATTGTGGAGCAAGAGATTTTTTTCCCCCGGGTGAATGAAGGAATTTTTAAGTTCCAACCACCCTATTTTGCCTATTCCAAAGGAAAATATCTAAACTTGCCTTAGGCTTCCTTATTCCTGCTTAACATCTGTTTAAAATTCCAGTTAGTTTAAAAATACCTACATATATAATACATATAATATATTTCTGGAATAAAACCACAAAAAAAAAAAAAAGTACTGTACAAATATTATGTAGAGTGCTTCCATTGGCTGTATGTAGTTGAGCTACTTTCCTAATATCCAAATATTTAAATAAAATTAAAAAAAAAAAGAAATGACAACGACAACAACCAAAAAAAGTCATAAATAAGTAACAGAATAAGTAATGAATAAGAATAAAAAATTAAAAAATCATGATTCTACGAGCCTGGCATTGCTATGGAAATGCCCTTCCTGTTGCCCAGGAATCTCTCACAAAGTAAAAATTAGGATTATGCAGGTTAGTCTCTATCTTTTTTTAGCTGCTTTAAGATGTTCTGATCCTCTGTCTAATCAAGTAATGAATTATAGAACTTTCATGTGTGCTCAGAAATGCTCTCTATATATGTAGCCATATATAGAAATAGATATATATTACATATATATTAAAAAAAAC